GATAGATAGATAGATAGATAGATAGATAGATAGATAGATAGATAGATAGATAGATGGATCTTTTCAAAGTAAAACAAAATGTATAGTAGTTAATAAGATTATAAATAACTTCTACTTTTTAATATTTTACTTTTTAGTGTATCAGAACTAAATTACAAAAATTAATTTATTTAAGATAACAAAAGTGGGTTTGTTTTGCTTTGTTTTTGCTGTTGTTTTATTTTGAAAGTACTTACAGTTATATAAAAGTAGCAATTAACATTACTGCTTGGTTCAGTATGACTGGATATTCTGTTTACAACATTATATTTTAAGGTGAGGGAAGTTCGGAATGCTCAGGAGTAGAGACGAATAAGCCTGAGCCAGAACAGTCGGGGAAGAAGGTAGCTTCTCGTCCCTTCCCCTGTGCCTGGGCTCAAGCCTGAGTGGTAAAGTAAAAGAAACATGGACCAGGTTTGTAGACAGAAGAAAACCCACCTCCAAGCAGTTGGGGGATAGAGGCGGCCAGGCAGACCCCCTGGCACTCACCGAGACCATCCTGCCCTCGGAGGGCATGAAGGCGGGCCGGTTGCTGAGCCGCAGCTTGGTCTGCAGCGTGTTGAAGTTGATCTCCAGCTGGCACTTCTCCTGCACCTTGGGCGGCTTGTGCAGGCGCCGGTAGTCTCGGAAGTCCTCCAGCTTCTGCTGCATGGCGTGCATGGTCTTCTCGGGCACCCGGTTCTCCAGCCACGGGATGGTGCGGCGGATCCACTCCAGCAGCTAAGGAGGGAGGCAGAGGAAGGCATGCAGTGAGGATGTGCGAAGACCAGTTTGCCCTTCTGCTGCAGGCCCTTCTTCCCTCACAGGAAGAGGGCTGGCAAAAAGTCTCTCCTGGTGGCACACTCCCTTCCCAACTTCCCCTGGGACCTCACCATGCCATGTAGCAAGGCTTTTGGGTGCTCCCTCCGAGTTGACCAGGACATGGTCAACTCAGAGCCCACAGCCCTCATCTTCTCTGACAGGGGAAGAACCAAAGAACCACAGGCCGCTCGAAAAGCAAGGAGACCTGAGCTCAAGTCTAGCAGGGCCTCAGTTCTTTCATTTACACCAAGCAGGAATGTACTAGAATGTGGGGTCTTTGGCTAGCTTCTGGGACAGCCTAGGATTTTTATCCTGGAGCCATGGTGAGGGTGATGAAGAAGCAGCAGGACTGTAACGGCACGGGGCAGGAAGCATATGGAACCTCTGGGAGCTGCCAGGCATGAACCACAAAGTGACTCATAGGGACAATCATAGTAATACTACATGGTCAATTGCTACGCTCACCCCCACATTATGGAGGAGGCACCCAAGGCTCTGCCAGGTCACGCAGCTTGCCGCAGCGACCGGCTAGAATGGTGAGGCAGGGATTAAAGACTGGGCAACTGGCTCTCACTCAGCTGGTGGGCAGAGCCACCAAAAGGCCAGGGGAACCATTCTTTCAGGAAAGAAGCAAGCAAGCAAGCCACACCTTAACCCAAACGATGGTGGGCAGCTGATTAGCTAACTCCCTCCCATCCTGTCCCCTGCTGGCCTGAATGCTAAGTACTAAGTGCTCAGTTCTAAGCCAGAGCCAGGACTGAGTCCTCCCGAGTGCATGGCTTTTAAGTACCTGACATAGCTTGGTACTACGGCTCTACACCAGGCTGCAAATGCCTCTGAGGTCCCAGGGCTCAACTCCCACTCAGAAAGTGAAAGGCAAAACAGGAGGCAGGGAGGTGAAGGCATTTCCCAGGCTCAGTGTAGCCCAGAGACCACCTTCCCTGCCTTCATTTCTGCTCTCCCAGAGGCCCAGACTAAGCTGTCCTGAGTTAACTGTGCTTGGCTCGTACACAGCACCAGCCTGGGACTCTGTCTGCACAACGAATCCTCAGGTACGGATCCTGGGAGCTTCATTCTCTTGGGGTGTAATACAGGGCCTTGCTGGAGCCAAGCCAGAAGAACACAGGGGTACGCACGTCACTGGCCAGCTTCTCGTAGTCTTCCATAAGCTGTTCGTTCTCTTGATTGACAGCCAACACTTTGCAGATGCGATTAGCTGCGGTTTCCGCCTGGCAACAAGACAGAGAAAGTCATGACCAACTTGCACCAGGAGCAGGGGCACCTAGACACGCCTCTGCCAACAAACCCCTTCCAGCCTATTACTCCTATAGCAGAAAGGAAGCCCCTAAGGCTCTGAGTCAAACCCTTCTGCATCACCCTCTTTGCCAGCCCTGGACAAGGGCTGATTTCCATCATGTAAGCCAAGAAGAAATTAATTAAGCAACTGAGGCATTCAAATTCTCAGGCCAGGTGCAAAGAGGAGGAAATTCATGCCCAGCCTGGGATTCCAGGGATCCCAGGACTTGGGACCTCGAGCTGGATTTGACAGGATTTTGAAGAAGTGAGACTTCAAGTCTTAAAGTGGAAAGAGAAAGGGCTCGCTGACAGTGAGGCCTCTCAAGTTCTCTGAAGAATCTCTTGAAGGCCCCTGGCTCGAAGCACTTTAGAGAAAAGCTTAAGACATGGCAGTGTGAGGAGAATAAGATGTAAGGATCAACCCAGCATGGTGGCAAGCCCAGGACACCCAGCACAAATACTGATGGCTCAGCTAAGATCATACCGTACACCAAGCAGTGGACCAGGATAGACTAGAGATAGTCCTCAGCAGGGAGAAGACTGACGGGGATGCAACGGTCATCAGCCACAAGGTCTAGGGCCCCTTAGACCTTGGTGGGCCTCTGGTGGTTGGGAAAGGTGCTTTGTGTCCAACACCAGCAGGGACCCTGTGTTCCCAAATCCACTTCACTTAAGTGACTTTGGTTTTTGGGGTGGGGGGAGTTCGAGATAGGGTTTCTCTGTGTAACAAGAGCCCTGGCAGTCCTAGACTCACTTTGTAGACCAGGCTGGCCTTGAACTCACAGAGATCCAACTGCCTCTGCCTTCTGAGTGCTGGGACTAAACGTGTGAAGGTGTACAACACCACGCCCGGCTGTTTTCTTGTTTTTGTTTTTTGAGACAGCCTCTCACCATGTAGCCCTGGCTATCCTGGAACTCGCTCTCGTTAACCAGGCCGGCCTCGAACTCATAGAGAGCCACCCACCTCTGCCTCCTAAGTGCTGGGTGTAAAGGTGTTCACTACCAACCTGAAGTTGACTTGTGTCCTTGTACATATGCCAGCTCTACTCCAAGGGGAAGTGAACGAAGCCTGGGGACCACATGGTAGAAAGGAGACAGGCTAGGGTAGCGAAGACAACGCCTATTAAAAGATAGATATGAACCCCGAGACCCTGGAGACAGGTGACCTACAGATGATAAAGGACGCCTGGTTTAAGAGAGAAGAAGGCAAAACCTAAATCTGGTTGACAAGCAAAAAAGAGTTTGTGTTACCACAAAATGAGACGGAGTGTAAAGAAATTCCCGAGAACTGGAAGGAATGACTCTGGTATATGTGGTTTTTCCAAGAAGACGTTTTCAAGGGGGAAATGCCAACCAAATCACATGCCTTGTGGTGAGTGTGCTGAGACACATAGGGAAAACTGCCCCTGAGGTCTCTCAGTGAAAAGTCAAGAGACTGTATCCTGCAGTGTGGGCACTGGGAAAGCTGGGACTCCGAGAGGAGAGCACGGGGTAGGGCCAGAGGTTGGGGCTAAGAATCGCTCGAAGAGGGACTCGGAGACTCCCAGCTTTTGAGAAACCAAGGTCTCCTCAGTCATCACCCCTGCCCTTGAGATGGCATGGCCTCTTTTCATATAGATGTCCTGCTTGACTGTCATTCTTTCCTGAGAACCACTGAGTAACAGCGGTGAATTACCCGAGGCACTGAGGAAACAGTTGCTTCCCAGAAGCCTATCCCTAAGAGGCACGATCCAAAAACAATGAAAACTTATGAGCACTAAGCCACATGCTCCATGAAGCCGGCTGGATTGATAAACCTCTCGTGTCACCAAAACTACCTCCACTGAGGTTAGGGCAGAGGACCACAGACAACCAGGAGGTGGCACAGCTACAGAAATTGCCACTAACAAGTCATAGACAGCTACTCACTGAAGATAAACAGCAGCTGCAGGCTGGCCCAGACCTTAAGATTCTCCTGCCTCAGACCCCAGAGTACAGGGATTACAGGTGTGCAGCACCATGGTAGCTAATTAAATAAACCCCACCTTAAACTCAATGTCCTCCAAATTCATCCTGAAGTCCTGGCCTCATCAGCCATAAACTACTTGTTTACCAAGTTGGTAGGCTGAGTGGGGTCTGAGTTTGCACTTTTTTTTTTTTTTTTTTTTCTGTTGAGACAGGATTTTTCCCTGTAGTTCTGGAACTCGCTTTGTAGACCAGGCTGCCCTCGAATTCACAGAGATCTGCCTGCCTCTGCCTCCCGCATGCTAGGATTAAAGGGGTGAGCCTGACCACTGCCCACCTAGAGTTTATGCAGTTTTGAGAGCTGAGCTCGGTAGGCTTTAAAGCTTCGCCATGGCCTGTGGACCGTTCCGCATCCAAAGAAGACCCCTTGAGATGAAATCTGGGGGAGACTTCCCCGTGGGACTCCTGAGGGCTTTCTGCAAGGCCCAAGCAAAGCCTACATTCTGGCCTGGCCTTTCCGGGCTAGCCTCATCAGGAGGGACAGCCTGCGGACTCCACCAACATGCCTGAAGAACCTGGCTTTAGGAAAAACAGCACCACAGAATACAAGAGTGCTTTCTTTACAAAGGACCCATCTGTGAACGCTCGTGGGTCACTGTTAGGAACAGTGAGCATTTGATCTCTGACCTTTGAGAAGCAGGTTCTCGGAAGACAGAGGCTAAGTCCTCAGAACTACATTCTCCTTCCTCCCGTAGGCCACAACCCTGAATAAGCCAGCCAGGAGCCTGGGAGACATGCGCTCTCAGGTGGTCCCTTTACGAAGAGAGGCCAGGCACTACCAATCTCAGCCAGAGGGGAGACAAGTCAGCCTGGCTGGCCTTGCAGACCTCCATGGGGTGAAGGGAATCGGGCTGCAGATGGTGAGAGCAGCCCAACAGCAGCAAGCCCAAGCATCTGGCTTCCCTTCCTCAGAGCTACAAGAAGCCCATGGCAGGATGGGAGCCAAGGAGGAAAGCCACGGCCACACAGTGTGTAAGGAACGCTGGCAAGGCCGCAGGAATTCAGAAGCACCAGCGAGGGACCTGGCCCAAGAGAGAAAGAAACAGCCCTGGCAGAAAGGCAGGAATGGAAGCCATCTCAGGAGAACCCAGCTTGGCTTCTGATCTTGGGTTTTCGGTGATGAGACAGGCTGTTCTGAAACCCGTGCAAGAACCAGGCTGCCCCAGTCTTTCCAGATGACAGGCTCTGCATGAGATAATATGCAAAAGCAAGCACAGACTGCCAATGGGCTGAGAAAACACTCCAGAGAAGGAGGCAAGATGTCTATTTCCATGCTCTTTGTGACCACTTTCTACTGTCCTATTAGTACAACTTGACATACAATTTATTTTTTCACACAGGGTTTCTCTAGATAGCCATGGCTGTTCTAGAACTTGCCCTCTAGACCAGGTTGCCCTTGAGCTCACAGAGATCCAGCTGCTTCTGTCTCTCAAGCGCTGGGATTAAAGGCAGACATCACCACACCCAGTCACTAGTGTGTGTGTGTGTGTGTGTGTGTGTGTGTGTGTGTGTGTGTGTGCGTGCGTATAAAAGCCATGAGCCATTATTCTTACAGATTTAACTATCCTGTGCCAAACTTCCATCCTGATAGCCAGGCACAGAGGCACCTGAGACAGGTCCATCTATAGAGAGGCTGTTGTCCATTAAGGTGTCATCAAATGCCCAAACTAGGTAAAGTGACACAGCAGGCGGGGCTCCATCACCCACAATCCACCGTTCACAGGAATGCTGCAAGGAGCTGCTCGTTGTCAATGTTTTTAGTAAAATCTTCCCCAATCTGGCTGAAACTGCTTTTCCTTTCTCCCTCCCAGTGACTGCCGCCTAGTGTACCCCCTCCCCTGGGTTTGCTAAGCCCAGTAGATCACAGCTCCTCGCCCCAGAATGGAACTTCCCTGAGACAAACAGGCTGGGGTGGGTTTGGGATACATGTCTGTCCCTCCATCTATGCCTCGGCTTCCCCAGAACTTTCCATTCCATAGTGACCTGGCGTTGCCAACTTCCTCTCACACCACTAAGCCTTAGCTGTGGTGACTGTCATTGCCACCACTGTCACTAACTCCTTAGTGACAGGCCCTTCGCTCTTCCCTAGTGGTACCTGAGCCTCCAAGCTCCAAGCTGAGGCTCTCAGAAAACACCCTGCAGCCCCACAGTTGTCCCCTCTGGACAGACCTGCAGCAGTACAAGCCCTGCTCTGGGCGCTGCCTCCTTGTTGTCATGCCTTTAAAGACAGCTTCTGTGGTCAGGAATATATTTTTTTCCCTTAGAAGGTTTACACTCGTGGACCGAGTGACTGACGGACAGGCGGGTGGATGCGGACAGCTCCATCTGTCCCTACACAACCAGAAACGCCCGCATCAAAGCAAGTTTGCCCATTCAAGGGCCAGTTCCCAGAAACAGCTCCCAAGAGACCTCTGAAGCACCAGATGTCTACACAAAAGCTCGATGCTCTCCACTCGTTCTAAACCTGGGTGGCAGGGGAAGGAGAGCAAGGACGTCGGAACCCAAACCAGCCTGCCAAACGGAAGTTGGTCCTCAGCCAATGAGGACAGTCAGCAGCTGTGTCCACCGAGTGCTTGGATGTCAGTGCACACGGGCCCTTGCATGTGCCTGTCAGCCGGGAGCTTCCTACTTCGATTATCCATGACTGGCCAGAAAAAGGTGTAGAGAGGAGGGTGGGCCAGGGATATAGCTCTGGGAGATGTCTGTCAAGGGTACCAGCCGCAGAGGCAGTCATGACAAGAGCCGTGAGATGCAGAAAGATGCCTTCATCTCCTCGCCCCAAAACCAGAGGTACACATCCCCCCCACTCTCCCCCCCACCCCTGGCCCAACTGATCACTCTAGGCAGATACTCTGGGACAACTCTGGGTGAGGTCTCTGCCCAGGAGACCCGAGAATCAAGCAAGGACAACCAAATTCTGACATCCTGTCTGTGTTCCTATCCTGGGATGGGGACAAAAAGCATGAAATGGCTGCAACAGGGATGAGAATAAGGGAAGAGGGAGCGGGGGAGGGAGGAGGGAGGAGGGAAAGCCACACAAACCCCACACTCTCCCTACCACACCCAGGATACGCGCACACCTCTTCCACGCCATGCAAGTGTGCATGCGCATGCACACACACTCACATACATGGACACGCAGCCCTCCCGAGCATCATCGTCAGCCAGGCCAGAGAGAAGGCATCAGAGACAGGCCAGTGTCGGCAGGCGTGAAGCCCAGGGCAGAATCCCTAAAGGCAGAGGGCATAAAAAAGAGGAAGAGGCCAGTCAGTCAGACAGAGGAGAGAGGCCACCTCAAGTCGGCCTGGCAGTGCATAGGAGGCTGAGAGGAAAGGCTCAACCAGGGCAAGCAGAAAGGCTGCCCATATCCTGGTTGAGAGCAGGGTTCAAGAGAGGTCGGCAGGAGAGCAGCGGAGGTCCTGGGACAGAGGAGGAGTCATGAGGCCAGCAAGGGGCTGGAGGCTGGGAAGTTGGATGCTGGCCACCACTGAGGAAACCAACAGGTAGGACTGTGTCCTCTGTGTCAGTAGAAAGGCAAGGCCAGGGCATGTATCCAGTGGGTACCAGGCTGCTGCCAGCCCATCTGGTCCTCTTTGGGCATTTTAAAAAGGTGCCTTTCCTCAAGGCATTTCTATTTTTTTAAAAAAAAGAGGGAGGGCACACTGATTTGTTTAGAAGACATTTTTAACTGCTGGACATGACGCAGTGAAATGGTGGTAGAATGCTTATCTAGCATGCATGAGGCCCTGGGTTCAATCCCAGCACCACCACAAAAAAATAAAATAAATAAAAAGCCAGAAATGGTAATACATGCCTTTAATCCCAGCACTCAAGAGGCAGAGGCAGGTAGATCTTTGAGTTTGAGGCTAGCCAGTTCTACAGAGTGAGTTCAGGACAGCCAGGGCTATAAAGAGAAACCCTGTCTTGAAAAACCAAAGGAAAAAAAGAAAAAGAAAGAAAGGCAAGAAAAGAAAAAGGCAGCTTTGCTGCTATCTGCAGGGTAATTTTGGTAATGAGTGTTCAAATCTCCACAATCTATGGCACACAAGTGGCATTCTTATACAGTTGCAACTATCCACGAAAGGCCTGGCTGGCGAATGGCATGCAGGCCTCTGGCCTGAATATCAAGGAAAAGGCAGAAGACTTCTCCTGGCCCTGACTGCTGCCTAAATTCGAGAAGATGGCTTTGCTCAGGCAGGAAAATGGAGGGTCAGAGGTGAAAGGGATCCTGGGTATTTAAGGGAATGGCTTAGGACCCAGGCTCTGCCAGCTCTGCTGCCTTCCCCTACGTGGGGTCCACTGTGCCCAGTGTTCACAGAGACACAAAGGGAGGCCACTCAGAGCCTGGGCTTCTCTGGCATCTGTAAGTGTGCTTGCCAGGGTTCTGAGAGTTTCCTGTCCCCTGTGGGGATGGGTGAATTAACAAACCCTCTCTCACTCAGGGGCTGCTGCTGGTGTCCAGCGAGGAGGACAAGATGGGCCGAAGGGTGGCAGGGAGAGCGGGCGAGGCCAAGGGCGAGCTCACCTTCTGCGCCCCAAGAAGGCGTGGCAGTGACATGAAACATTAGGTCACATGGCCTTCCCCTCCGGCCTTAGCGTGCCTACACATCTGCACAGAGAAGGAGAAGAGGTTGAGAGGAGAAAGTAGAACAGCACAGAGCAAACCCGAACAGCAGCAGTGGACAGAGCGCACGAGACAGAAGGGGGATGAGCAGGAGGAGCAGAATAGGCCAGAAGGGACATGAGCAGAGAGGGAAATGAGCGAGGGAGATAGGGGTTGGGGGCAGAGCTTTCCATCATGCACTTCCAACAGGTCACTCAGAGGCCATGAGGAACATGTATGTGGCAAGGCCTAGGGACCAAAGCCATGAAGGTTTCTGTGGTCACAGCCATGTGCTGCTTCTGGGAGGGACATCTGCTGCCCCAGAAAAGCCTGGTTGTGAGTGATAACTCCCACTATTCCAGTGACCACAGTAGGAACTGGGGCCTGGTATATTACAGAACTGTTCAACCTGGCTTTACCCTCTTCCCAGAGCAGTCTGAGCCAGGATACCAGAAGGGGGGGGGGCTTCACTGCCACCCACATCCCCACCCCTCCCCCCACAGGCCATGCTTATGTCTGAGAACACAGTGTACGGTGTCCACGTGGGGGGGGGAGGTCCCAGGCAGGACAGGGCTCAAGAGCTGGAGACAAACTTGTTACATCATGCCTGAGGGTAGAAGGGAGAGGGCGAGCATGGCACCACACCTTTGCAAAATGGGTAAATGAAGAGAGGAGTCACACCACAGCCCAGGGGAAGCCCCAGTGCTGCCAACCCTGTGGCTTCCAGGGAGGTGGGACTGTAGCTTACTGGCTCCTGCAGCCCAGACTCACTGATTTCACACACCCTGCCCTTCTGCCTGGGGCCATGCAGCTGGTTCCAAAGGACTAGTGCTCGCTAAATGTTCTCAGTGCTGAGACAAGGTGAGATTCAGCAGAAGTGTAGGGTAGGAGAGGGCAAACAAGACCTCTTCAGAAACACCGCTAACTATCCACAAGACCAGAACCAGGCCGTCCAGACACCTGCCCTGGGACATGGAAGGATGGAAAGGAAGGAGGGGCAGGAGGGCATGGCTGGGGTCTGGCATGAGGTGTGCTGGGCATAGAAGGAGCAGGGGCCCCAGGTACCTTCTGGGCTCCCGAGAAGGCATGGTAGAAGCTAGACACATAAGTCATAATGGCTTTCTCATCCGGCCGGGCAGTTCCGACGATGTCTGTGGAGAGACAGAGGGAGCCGAAGTTAAAGCCACCTAAGTGAACACACGGTACACGTTTCACAAGGGGATGCAGAAGCCTGCATGCTGTGATGGACCTTGCTGAAAGGTCCACCGTGAATCTAGCCAGTCTGCCGACTCAATGTCCACTAAAAGGAGCATGGGAGACAGAGGAAGGGGTAATGTAATGCCCCCAGAGGCAAGCAAAGAAGCCCACAGGAATGCCCGACCTGGCAGCCCTCCTCCAACCACAAGGTCAATGGCATCAATAAAAGGAAGGAGGGAAGAGATAAGGTAGATATGACACACAGAACTCAGCACCCAAGTGCACGCATGGACACAGCCAGCCCATAGACTAAAGCTAACCCACTCTCAATGGCAATTTTAAACTGGGGGGAGTCTGGTTCTGAACATGACAAAGATGACACTGGGAATTACTGCCATGTTTGCTAGATGCGAAAGTATTTTGTTTGATTTTGTTTTGTTTTTGTTTTCAGACAGTCCAACTTATGTAGCCCAGGTTGGCCTCAAATTCATGATCCTCCTGCCTCGGCCTCCCGAGTGCTGAGATTACAGGCACGTGTCACCACATCTGGTCTGTGGGAAGTATTTTAATTACACACAAAAATACCCGTTATCTTTAAGGCATGCACTCGGAAGTAGGTAGCAGTGGCGTGACAGCGAAAGGACAAAGAAGAAAAATAAGATGTGATGGGATATCAAAAACCCTTTTGGGATGGTAGGCAGTATACCATCTTATGCTTCTGTACATGTTTGGAATTTTCTTGATGACATTTTCAAACATAAAATGCCACTGGTTGGGGTGTCAGGAGTACAGGGCTGGAGGCAATCTTAGACAATCCTTCCACCCCCACGCTCCCCACCCGAAACTCTCTTCCGCTGCTCAACGGGGAGCTAAGACACTGTAAAATGATACATGAGCATCAGGATTAAGAAGATCCCAAAGGACCATGGTCATGGTTCCCGTTTCTTCCAAGAGCAAGGGCAGAGGAGGAAGCCCTACCCTCCCTTCTCCAAGAAGCTTGCCCTATGCTTCGTGAGTGCTACCAGGTAGTAGCTCTTCCTCAGGACCACACAGAATCCCTGACAGGCAAGTGACCCCAAGCTCTACAAGATGAGGTCCCAGTAGACAGACCCAGCTCCTTCATGCCTCAGCTGCTGGGGACCAGTGGAGAAAGCCCTTACCTTCAGCATCCAGCATCTTAGGGATGTCCAAAAACTTCTCTGCCACATCAAAGGCTGTGTTTAAGTTTGTGAGTGGATCATCCTAAAGGAGAAAAGGACAAAGTGAGCATACAGAGAGCCACATGTCACAGATTGTGGGGAGGGATGGATGTGTGAGAGAGAGAGAGAGAGAGAAAGAGAGAGAGAGAGAGACTTTCTACCAGATCCTCCTAGGTTCTAGGTAAGAAAGACTGGCTTCAAGGCCTTTAGGGGCCACTAGCTAGAGGTTTGACACACACATTCACACACAAACACACACACACACACACACACACACACACACCCAACACCACCTGTTGTGGATATAAACAGGTTTTGTTTTGGTCCCAGGTGTGGCATGTGGGACTGATTCAAGATGGTCCACAGCAGCAGACTATTTGCCTCATGCCGGCTCTGAAAGGAGCTCAGCTGTAGACAGTTTGAATCTGACTCTGGAGAGGGAATAAATGCCAGATCCCAGAGAATGGAGCAATGAGAAAGAACAAGGCTGCTCCTGCTTCCCCACTGTTGCTCCTAGTTGCTGCTGTGAGATGGGAAGTTGGAGATCTCCTGAAATGAGGATTGGACTGGCTCCAAGAACCCGATGACCCTGACCAGTAGGAAGCAGCTAAGAAAGAACTATGCCCCCTCTCCCACTAACCCTTTCTCTCTCCTACCTGGCGTCTGGGGAGCAGGGAGAAAAATATTTTAAAAATGTAAATAAAAGAGTTTTTAAAAAGTACGCCAACCACCACCACCACCATCACCACCAATAGTAATAATAATTAAAGAAAATGAGACCATAATATGAAAAAAAAAAAAAAGCAACAGGGACGGAGGAAGAGAGAAATGATGTAATTATAATCTCAAAACAAAATTTAAAAATCTTTGATTTTTTTTTTTTAAATCATTCCATCCAGTGGTTCACAGGATCCTGAGAGACACCCAACAAACTGAAAACACGGTCTCAGAGATGTGTACACTGGGTCAGAGCAGCCCTGTTCATGGGTCAGAAAGTGAAAGCCAAGAGCTCACCAATGGGCAAGTGACATGCGGGACATTGTCTCCCATGCAAAAGCAGCTGAGCTGGGAGGCTGGGGCTCTTCTCCCTCAGAGGTTAGCTTGAGAACGGTGGCTCTAGCTCTGCACACAGGGCCAGGCCTTAGGCTCCTCTCCATTAGCAGATGGGCCCTTGCAGGCGAACAGAGGGCGGGGGATTGGAATCTGCTCTCTCCTCCTTAGTAGCTTGCTCATCCATCTACACCCTAAAACAGAAGGCCCTGCCGCCACCACAAATAGTCAGGGCAAGAGCTTTCTTGGTTCCTGGTTAGCAAGCACACGTGTGTCTGCGTGGGGAGGCTAGACTGAACACTGCCCTCAGGCATCCATCCTGGGGGAAAGGGAGAAATGGGCTTGTCATCCTAAGAAGACCCCCTGCCAAGAGGGCTACACAGCAACAGGTTCCATTTCCATTCCCTTCCAGATCAACGTGCAGCGGACACCGGCTTCATGGTAGGTAAGAATGGTTCGGGACAGGCCTCAGCAAGATGGAGGCCAGCTCCTCACCCCTCAACATGCACGTCTCACTTAAGAAAATCACCAAGTAAACTGACACCCAGACACAAATGAAGGTGATGCGATGGCACTCAATCACCTGAGTCCAGAAGTGGGAGACCAGCCTGGGCCACACAGTGAAACTCATCACTATCTCAAAAGCATAACTAAATCTGGCAGCACAAGGAACCAAGCCCCACAGCGCCTGCCTGAGACACTGGGACTCCAGGAAAAATGTCGCTTGGAATAAGAGATTTCGTACAGCATCAATGAATACTTTCACCTTCTGGAACCAGAAATAATGGAAAGGAGAAATGGCATTTGAACATGGCCACTCTGTTCTGGTAGCTTTCTTGGTGGGCCACGTATGTGCAAAGGGATCTGTGATATGCGCACTGAATTATAAACAGAAAAAAGGCATTTCCCCCCCCCTTGCTTGCTTCCAAATGAGGCTGGTCCACAAGGCCAACAACGTTCAGGCTGGGCATTGGGCTCTCAGCAGTGGTCCTGTTCTGTCCTCAGCTTGTCTCCACCCGCTAGGGACCAGTCATCAGGCAAGAGAAGCCGGCATGAGATCAGGTGAGCACACGTACCTTCCGCAGCTTTCCATAGTCAATCAGCTCAGGCCGGTGTCGGTGGATCAAGGCACAGAAACCAAGACCATCCTTCCAACTGTCCAGGGAGAAAGAAAGAGAGAGAGAGAGAATGGAGCAAGCTGATGATGTCTGGTGTTCCTTAGGCAATCCTCTGGAGCAGGACTTAGAAGGTAGGATGGAAAAGGGAGACTTCCGCCTGCCACAGTCCCAGGTATTGAGGTCGAGGTTTTCTGAGTGGTTGACAAGCTGAGATGAACCTGTCACTTCCACTCTCCCCCTCACAAAAGCCCATGGCCTTAGTCTGTTGGTCTGGAACCCTGGGCTTTCAGATAACGATCTTGGGGGTCTACTCCCAGCATCACAAAGGCGTACTAGGCAGCATGCGGGTCCAAGACACCACAGGGAGGGATGGCAGGTTCAAAGGGACGCACTCTTCCCCAGAAGAACTACAACTTCCCCTGACTCTTCTAAAGCAGGCAGGGCAGGAGAGCCCTGAGAAGGCAGGCCAGCCTTGGCGGGAGCCCCTGGCTCCAGTACACACCTGATATGGAAGTTCTGGATGTTGACATTTTTATATGGGGCTGTCTTCCGCTGACACCACAGGAGCAACCCTTCTTTAGCTGATGTCTCTGTGAGGAAGGGGAAGGGAGAAGAGGTCAGTGGGCTGACCTAGGGGAGGGAAGATTCTGCTCATAAGAGGCCCTCCTGGGGCCTCAGGAGCTCAACTCTGTTGCTCTAAGGAGGGAAGAAGTCCAGGCCACCATGGTGTACTTGTTTGGCAAAGTTGGAAAAGTTAAGGAAGAAAAAGAGCAAGCCAGCCACTCACTCACACCATATACTAAAATGTCCAGACAGCAGCAGCAGACTTTTGGGGTTATCTGGCCAACTCCCTTTTATTCAAGAAGTGACAGCGATACAAGGTGAGTCAGCAGCTCGTGGCTGCTCCAAGGACAGCTGGAAGAGCCTATGAAAGGTACCTGACAGCCTGCGGGTCGAACATGGAGGAACAGGGAAGAAAGGATTCCTGTCTGAGTTCGTCGGAAATAAGGCTCCCTTCTATTTTCTGTACTGATGTGGCCTTGGTGGCCTGTCACTCTATGTGCAGCAGGTGGGCAACTATCTGTGAAGCCAAGCACCCGAGGGGATGCGAGAACTCCCAGCACCGAGGTTGCAGGCTGCACCGCCTCTGTATGTTCAGATCTGCGAGCTGCAGGCAGTGGCAGTTAGCAAAGTGGGCTCCTGAGTGACCTCGAATATTCAACTCGTCAAAACGGGGTCGGGCTGGAGAGATGGCTCAGTGGTCGAGAGCGCACTGCTCTTGCAGACGACCTGAAGTTGGTTCCCAGCAGCCTGTAACATCGTCTCCAGGAGCCAATGCCTCTGGCCTCTGGGGACATCAGCACTCACTCTGCACAACCACATGCAGACACACAAGCACATACCCAATTAAAAATAAAACAAATCTTTACAGGCCTGGGGAGATAGCTCAGTGGTTAGGAATACTTGTTGCTCTTCCCCCAAGACTCAAGTTCAGTTCCCAGCACCCACCCTGGGAAGCTCATAACTGTAATCCCAGTCTCAGGAGATCCAGTGCCCTCTTGTGGAGTCTGGGACTCCAGACACGCACACAGTACACAGACACACATGCAGGCAAAAACACCCATACACACAAAACATGCCATGCGCATAAAAAAGAATAATTAAACGTGCCTACTTTAAAAGCATTCTATCTCAATCTCACCATTTAAAAAATAGTTTTATATGCATATATCATATACACAGCAAACCACAAACAGAAAGTGATAAAAGCACTGTATCAAACACAAAGCTCAAAAAAACAAAACAACAACAACAAAAATAGCTGGCGTAAGAAATCAAATATAAAGGGATTACTCTATCATACCAGGGCAACCATTTCAGATCGGAAAGGTGGCCACTAGGGGGCGCTATGAGAGCAGCGGTGAACATAGGACTTCCCTCACTTTCCCATGATTCCTCCTATTTTCTCATCCTTTCCCACTTAGAGCAGGTTGAGGCCTTGGCCTTTTTCAAAGTGAGAAATGCCACTGGGGTCGATATACTTCTGGGGGGGTTTATTTGAAATCATAGGAGGGAGTTTTGGATGAAACTGGAGAGAAAGGCTAGGTGGAGAAGTCAAGGGGAGAGGTCAAAGTTCAAGAAGGGACAGAACAAAGCACAAACCTACCTTCCACCGAGATGTCCTGGATGGCAAAACGAAGGATGATGGTCCAGATCATGCCCAGGGTCATCTTCACATTCCCGTCCACGATTTCTACAGGAAACAGTGGCAGGACATGTCAAGCGGATGGAAGCAAACAGACATGCATTCCCAGCATCCCACATCACTCCCTGTACCACTCAGAAATCTCCCACTTCTAGAAGGGAAAAAAACTGTTTGCTTGTCCGTTTATGCTAGAGACTGGATTCACACACCTCAAACATACAGAGCTCACCAAGCCTAAGCCACACCCAGCTGCACTTAGAAAATTGGCGCGATCAATCCATCAGGACAGATCAGGAGAGGAACCCATTTGAGGTATGACGAAGGAATAGATCTTTCTCTTGAGACAGTGGGTTCATCAGAAAGGATGCTCTATGCCCTGAGCTGAAGACAGGAGGGGGCGGATTTCTAAGCCCTCACAGAGGTCCGGGGGAGGGGGAGAGGAATCAATGACCTGGGGTCTGTGTACAATCACAGCTCTCAAAATAGCCAGAGTGAACAGAAAGCTACACCACACACACACACACACACACACACACACACACACACACACACACACGTTTTAAAAGCTGCTATTTTAACTAACCCTCTGATTGGTCAACTTCAAGATGCCCTAAGTTTTAAAATAGATTTCTTTTTTTTTTGTTTTAAAACACAGTCAAGACGACAGCTCAAACAACTCGCTCTATTTAGTCCTTGCACTTTTCAGACCTTACATGCTACAAATTCTATCATTTTCCTACCTTTTTCTTTCTTTCCCTTTTTCTTTCTTCACACACAAACATACACACACGCGCGCGCGCACACACACACACACACATCAAGCCTAGCAACAGAATAAAAGTATAAATCAAGACTGGAGAGATGGCTCAGGAGTTAAGAGCAGTGACTGCTCTTCTGGAGGACCCAGGTTCGATTCCCAGCATCCACACTTGGCAGCTCACAACCATCCGTCATTTCAGCTGCAGGGGATCCACTGCCCTCTTCTGGCCTCTGCAGGTACCAGGCAAGCACATGACGCACAGACATACGTGTAGGGAAACATATAGGAAATAAAAGTAAGTAAATCTTAAAACAAATAAAAACTATTTGTTTTAGCCTTAGCCCCAGAGCTCTTTGGGTCTAGTGGGCTGAAAGGTGAGGTTCCACCGTAGCTCCTTAATCCGTATCAGTCTGCAGAACCGGACAGTAAGCTGCTCTACCACAAGGGGCTCTCAGTGAAGAGCAAAGGAACACCAGTATTCACTGGGGACATGAGGTCTGCTGTAGCTTGCCAACAGAGCCACAGACAGCCACAGGCCACAGGTCCATGTTGGAAGTCACAGAGAGCTGTGGCACCAGGCAACCGTTTCCCTGACCAGCACGGTCGGTCAGCCAGAACTCTGCAGGAAATGCAACAGGGAGACATTAGAAAAACGTAAAGCTGGGGTGGGTGGGTCACGTGCTCCGGCTGACCTGCTGAGCCTCCCACTTCCACCTCCCAAATGCTGGGATTACGGGTGTGCGTTACCAAGCCCCACCGCATAAGAATCTTAAAAACGTGTGTTTTCGCCTACAGCAGCTGTCCTCAACCTGTGGCTCTTGTGGGGTCATCTGACTCCTTTGTGGGGTCAGATGATTCTTTCACAGGGGTTTCGTATCAGATAGCCTGCCTATCAGATAAGTAACAGTTCATAACAGTAGCAAAATTCAGTTATGAAGTAACAATGAAAATGATTTTATGGTTGGGGGGGGTCACCACAACAGGAGGAACTCTGTTAAAGGGCGGCAGTGTTAGGAAGTTTGAGAGCCGCTGGTCTACAACCAGTACTTTAACATCAGAACACTAAAAAGGTTTAAATTTATGTGCACAGAGTCTAAGCTCTCAGAGGTAGACAGGGGAAGGGCCATGAATAAAGACAGAACATTTAGTAAACTTTAAGAACAAATCTAAACACGTACACATTATTATTACAGAGCAGCTAGAAGGATAAACTGGCTTTTTTTTTTTTTTTTTTTTTATCTTGCTGAAAAAGCTGGCATCAGGGAGCAGGCATGTCAAAGCTGTTCAGTTCTGGTGGTGAAATCCTATCTCTGTCCCTGGCCAAAGACCTGCACTGCAGAGTAAGGTTTCTGTATAAATACCCTGCTGTTCAGTTATTTATCATGGAAACGATGTACAAAGTACAAAGAGTGACTTAGGCCCCCAGAGCCCCACACCCTTCTCTTCTGTTCAAATCCATGGCTTTCCACCCCACCCAGAGTCCAGTGGCCAGTACAAGGCCAGTGGCCAGCTAGGCCCTCTGGGCTTGAGCCTCCTTGGTCCCTTCTTCCATCCTCAATGGCATCCCCATTTGCTCCCTCTCCCAGAACATCCACGTGGCTTGTCCCTCCCCTCCTCACTGAAGGCCATCTCACTGTAGCCTCCCTTGACCATGCACTTTTCTCTACACTGTTCTCTACCTGATATCTGTAGATATTTCCTATTGTCTTCTGGGTGGACAAGGGTCAGGTCTTTTCCTGTCTTGCATCAATACTCAGAGCCCAGTGCAGGCCTAGTACTGAGTAAGGCCTCCACGAATGAAAGAACAAATGAATCATGAATGAACAAAAGAGAGCGCCATCAATCACAGTGAGCCAGCAGAGGCATGCGGGCCTGTCATTGGCCCGACGACCTATCACTGCTCAGCCACTCCCAAGGCAGGCCCAGGTGACCACAACTTAGCTGTGCTCACACAGATATTAACAGAACCATTCAACACTACATTCCTGAGGTTTTCATGACTCAGAAGGGGGGGGGGGGACCTTACAATGAAATTTTATAGGCAGCATTCCAACTCTAAGGGGAAACTTTTTTAAGCTTATAAAATTGATGAGACTGAAGCTCTCTGTCTTTCTAGAATGGATACCTGCCTTCCCTCTGTCAGGCTCCATGAGGGACGAACCCAATGACCTCCCATGGGGGCCTTTCAAGTACTAGGGAGACACGTGGTTTTCTTTCTGGGCTCCTAATAATTCTTTTCCCTCTTCTTTGGAATTTAGTGGACTCTAAGTCATAACGAAGTGACAGAAAACTAACGCTAGAGATGACGGAGGACAGAGTCCCTCATTGCCTCAGCCCTGTCAGTCTCACACCACCCTCAAAGCGCACGCGTGCAGAAAAGCGCGCAAGCGCACACAGCAATCTCTTCTTCCGTTCCAGGTATCTGTTGACAGGAGGGGTAGCCCTGCCTCCCAGGCAGCCTGACAGCAGGGGCTGCTGAGAAGAATAGGACGCGCTGTCATTCCCGGTCCATGGTGACCTAAACGCTGCTCACATCCTGCTTGCTCAGACCCTGTTTCTCCTCCAGACTCCAGGAACGCAATCACCTGCCCATATTCAAAGAGCAGAATGACCACTGTTAGGAAAACCCCATGTGGTGGAACCTGGAGTCCCAGGGGGCCACGGCCTTTCAGGCCAACGCTCAGGCTTCTGGACTCACTATTCGACCCCCGCCCTGACAGATCTGAATTACAGAGATGGCCCCAAGCCCTAGGCACCCAAATATCAAGCTTCCTCTCACCCCAAATCTCAAGATTTAAGAAACCTGCTTGGGTCCCCTCTCCCCTGGTTAAACCCCAAGCCCTCACCCCACTAAGCCTCCCCTGCATGAAATCTAGATGTGGCAGAAGTCGTCTCAGGGCTTGGTTCTAACTCCTGGTTTTTGACACACACTTGCTCCATCTAGACCCTTCAGGGACAAGGTCCACAGGACATTCGAGAGCTCGGGTTGCATTCCGTGAGGTCTGACATGCTCTCCAAGACCAGTCTGCCCACAGGATCCCTCTACCAGGCTTGGTCCAGTCAGTGCTAGTGCTAGAGTGGAGGGATGTCCTGCCAGGGCCTGGTCCCACACGTGATGTTCAGCAACAAAGTCCCCCCACTTCCGGGAGTGCTCCCTTCCAGGAGTTCTGCCCACAGCCTTCAGTTCGTAAGAGGCAGCTCTGAAGCGCTATTCCTTACAAAGCAAAACCCCAGTGTGTGTTCACTTGGCTTTCTGGGGCCATCTCAGGGCAGCCCAGGCCCAGATCGAAGCCAGAGTCTCAGCCTGCCTCCTACGGCTGTAAGAAGACAGTGAATTGCTCACTTTGTAACAGGGATCAGGTCGGCACAGAGGTGGGACACAGGGACCCACGTGGCACGGCAGAGGCTGAGTGGCGCCAGAGCTATGGTGTATTGGGGACCCAGCAGAGCCCATCAGGACAGGAAGAGGGTCAGAACTCAGCCTTGAAGCCTGAACCCCTGGGCTGGGCCTGCCTCCACTATGGAGGTATAGCAATTTTTCCTTTCTAAAATTCTGCCTTTTCTAGCTTCTTCTTTTTTTAAACCTGTTTCAATGGCCCTGCATTTCCACTCCACAACAGTTGATCTGATCTATATAAGCCCATCCTTCTTTGTAGGAAAATCTCGTTCCGATTCGCTGCACTCCATACCCATCCCTACCTAACTCTTCACCCAAGCCCATTTCCCATACTCTTTCCTTCCCTACCCCAGTGGGGACCTGAAACCAGTGCCAGACTATTGAGTGCCTTTTTTTTTTTTTGGCTTCTTCTGCCTAAAAAAAAAGAAAATCTGCCAAGGCTTCAGTCCTCCCTAGTAGAACATGAAGTTCTCTTATTCTTCTTAAGAAGCAAAGAATGTTTTTCCAGCCACAAAGTTGAGTAACTGCCACATACACACGTGCTTTGAACATACACCCAGCACCAGCAGCTAGGAGCTGTGGCCACAGCCTGAAGACAACATAGCCTTTGCCCTTGAGATGTTCACGGCTGCAAGGGTGCCAGGACTCAGGTGTGGCTGCCACCTTGAGCAACAACCCAAACAGGTAAGGCAAGGGGTCGGCCAGCTTCCTCAATAAAGCCTGACAGGAAATAGTGTTGGCTTTCCTAGCCACTCGGTCTCTGTAGCAACTACTGGGCTTTGCTGCTGACACCCAAAGCAGCAACAGATGACAGAGAGCCAAACAAGTAGATGTAGTTGTGCTCTGCTGTTCACCAAGAGCTTCGTCGACGGGCGTGGTGGTGCAGGCCTTTAATCCTAGCGCTTGGGAGGCAGAGAAAGTCGGATCTCTGTGAGTTCAAGGGCAGCCTGGTCTACAGGGCCAGTTCCAGGATAGCCAAAGCTACACAGAGAAACTCTCTCAAACAAACAAACCTTTGTCAGCCCCACACACTGCTGTTTTTGGCCCTGTTGAAGAGGATGGAAGAGCATCCTCTTCCATGTCTTTGGGAAGGGGGGTGCTTTTCTCATTACCCACAGAAAACCTGCTCTCACAGATTTAAGGGGAACAGTATCCCCAGCATTTCTCTGGTGGCAAGTGCCATGGTCTTCTGTGCTCACAGAGGGGGTGAGCATTGGAGATGCTGGTTAAAGCATTTCGGCATGGCTTTCCTCATGACAAGTGAGTCCTCATATCACAGCTATGGCCGTGGCTTGACCAAGTGAGTAAGATGGTGTCTCTCAATCCCTGACATCCCCCTAGCTGGTGCCCAGTGAACATGTCACGTCACTGGAGAGTGTGGTTAGAATATTCTGGCTGTTCCTTCAGAGCCAGTACAGTGTATGCCAGAGGCCCTGCTGCATTACGGTAACTATGAAGAGTGTGCCAACAACGGCTTCAACAACTTTTTGTAAAAAACAAACAAACAAAACAACAACAACAACAAAAAAAAAACCCTTCTGAAGTGATGGGAAAAAAAGCCAAGGAACTACGGTGCTGATATGAGAAAGCTGCTTTGGCCCTCCCCTAAAAGGTTGTTGGGAGAAACACACGCCTCTAATGCTAGCACTCAGGAAAGCAAAGTTAGGTGGACCTTTGTGAGTTCCAGGCCAGCCTGCTCTATAAAGCAAGTTTCAAGACAGACAGACTACATAGAGAAACCCTGTCTCAAAAACCAAAACAACAACAACAACAAAGGAAAGCTACTTTGGGAACAACGGTGTCTCCCCAGGGCCCTGTCAGGCACCACAAGTCTATCTGTATTGCTCCACCCACAGAACACCTCATAGAACACAGGGGCTTGGTGTGGGGGGGGCGGTGTGCCCAGCACTCCATGTGCAACCCCACATCTTAAGGACTGCAGTGAGAGAATGAGAAAGGAGTGAGTCCTAGTGTGGCTGTTTCCAAAGGCACCTGAATCCGGGAGTCAAGGCAGAAAGGACCAAGGAAATAGTGATCACAGGGTACCAGCCTCACCTTCGGCTCCGATGGATACCAGCTTGACCCCTTTGCTGGCTATGAAATCCAGGGCCTTGTTGACGTTGGAGATCTTGTGCACTCGCATCTTGCCTCTCTCTGGCTTTGCCAAGCGTTCGCCTGCAAGAGGGAGAAAAACGAAGGTGAGGTGCGATTGCCCCAAGGAGCCAGGGCCACCCTCACTCCCCCTCACCCAAAGCGGTTCTTAAACGGACATATACATGATGTTCCTTCGCAGATGTTTGGCATTATCTACGCAGGCAGGAAATCAAAGAGAAGTTGGGTCTACCTGGATTCTTCCTCTTCTCCTCAGAGACAAACCTATGGGTGTCTGCTCAAAATTTAGATCTTTCTTTAAAAATACTTTTAAAAAATGTGTGTATGTATGTGTGTGCACGTGCTTGAGGAGGCCAGAAGAGGGCACTGGGCGCCTTGGAACTAGAGTTGCAAGCAGTTGTGAACCACTCACTGTGGGTATTTGGTACCAAGCCTGGGTCCTCTGAAAGGGCAGCCACCCTCTTAGCAGAACAGTCTCTCCAGACCCAGCATTTATTTGTTGTGTTCCTAATAGATGCCAAAGATTAGCCAGGAGCTGAGGATATGAGCGTAAACAAGTCTCTTGCCTTTTATATAATGGCAGTCCGGTAGGAAAGGACAAACCTTAAATTAAAAATTAAAAAGTAGACAAATGAGCCAGGTGCGGTGGTACACGCCTTTAATCCCAGCACTCCGGGACGCAGAGCCAGGCAGATCACTGTGAGTTCGAGGCCAGCCTGGTCTACAAACAAGTCCAGGATAGCCAAGGCTACACAGAGAAGCCCGGTCTCAAAAAGAAAAAAAAAAAAAAAAAAGTAGACAATACATACAATGGACAAATACTAAAAAACAACTGTGTTCTTCTAAAAAGGAGAGAAGGAGGAGGAAGGGGAGGAGGAGGGAAAGAAAGAAGGGAAAGAGGGGAGAAGGGAGGGGAAAGGCCTGTGGCTTACAGTCATGCTAACACTGCAGGGGATGGTGAACAAGGCAGAGGAGGCACTTCTAAAGGCCCTAAACTCCCTGACCACTTTGTTCAGGACATAGGTACAGGCCCCTTTTCAGTATTTAAAAAAAAAGCCTGTGTTGAAATGGCGCCACCTCTGGCATTCCTGACCCCACCCACTGGAGAGCCACATCTTGTGCTATAACACTGCCTTCCTGTGGACAACCTCAGCTCTGCTCCAGGCCCACCTTCCGCTCACCCCCTCCCCTCCTCCACACAGGGCTTCTGCTCCTCAAGCTGCAAGATCAGCAGACAGAAAAAACCGGGGGGATGTGGTAGGAGTGTCAATTTGTCATGTACTGCAGTAAAAGCACCTTAACCCCAGAACAGACAACCTCCAGGGACCTATCAAGAGGACCATCCTGCCTCCTCACCGCCATAATGAGCTATTAAACCAACATTTGAAACAGGTGTGTGGTAGCAACAGAGAAGAATGAGTGGGCATTGACCAGAGGAGTCCAAGCATGCTATAGGCAAAGCTTAATGGACGAGTCTGGAGGGAGCTGAGAAGACCAGGAAACCAACAGAAACAACAGGCAAGACTGTACTCAGGAGGTTCCAGACAGAGGCAAGGCACACGAATGGACTAGAGGCGTTCACGTCACATTCTGACAAAGAACTGCTCTATATTTTGTTGGCTTCCTGACACTGTGGGAAACTGAGTTTAAGGAAAATGGGCTAATTAACTGGGTTAAAAAAAAAAAAAAAGAAAAAGAAAAAAATCTCAAGCCAGCACCCTATACAAGCTGTGGCATAGTTATTGACAGGTGTTCTTAGAAAAGTTGACAGTGAGAATCGGGGGCAAACAGCACAATGGAAAGACCTGGAAAGCCTGTCGCCTCGCCTGAAAATGAACAAGCTATAAAAGCTGTGGGCAGGCAGGATGTGACTGCTAAGAGATCAGTGACATTAAAAGGAAGGCTGACAGAACTGATATGATCCAGGGGTTTCTTTTTGCTGCCGTTGTTTTTTGAGGCAGAGTTTCTCTGTGTAGTCCTGGCTGTCCTGGACTCTCTTTGTAGAGCAGGCTGGCCTCGAACTCATATCGATCTGCCTGCCTCTGCCTCCGGAGTGCTGGGATTAAAGGCATGGGCACCACGCCTGACTAGATCCAGGGATTTCTTAATGGCCTACCCCACTGAGTCCTCTCTCCTCTGTGTCCGAGCTAACAAATGTGGCTAATAGTTAGAGATCCTTCGGACTCTATTGACTTAGCAGACAACTAGCTTCCATCTTAAAGGCTTATCATCAGATAGCATCTTAGGCCTACAGAAAAGCCTCCCCAATTCCGATGTAACTGTCACTCTGATGTTACACCAATGGATTTTTAACTTATGACTTTCTTTGTTAAAAAAAAACAAAACAAAACAAAACTATAAAAACTTCATGAAACTGCTTCCACATTGGAATATAGAATGTGAGGATAACCTTAATCTATGTCTCAGGAACTAGCCAAACCCCACCCATCACAAACTCCATAATATAACACTGTAAAATCTTTTGAAAGGCTTTGCCTTCAGGGGAGGGCAATGAGGAAGGGAGATAAATTAGAACAAAGTATTAAGGAATATGCACACATAAAATTAATAATAATACCAAAGTAAGTCGGGAGGAAAAAAAAAAAAAAAAAAAAACAATGAAAGTTTTCCTTTCAGAAGACAGAGCTGCCAGGATGCTCTGCCTAAGGAAGCATTTTTCTAGGTTCAGCTTCTAGGCACGCAGAGGCCACTGCAGTGTGGGAGGACAGGGGAACATTCAGGAGGCTTGGCCTTGTCCATACAATGCTGGTTTTGCAAGCATGCAGAATTCAAGAGTTACAGAGCTATGGTGGCGCCTACCCAGAGTTCAAAGGAAGGCCTGGGAGGCCAGGAAATGGTTGACATGGTTGAATTACCTACAAAGAGCTCTGAGGGGCTGAAGCCTAAGCTGCAATGGAAACCCCAAGGGTGTCGAGCATGCAGGGAATGTGGAATGTCTGCTGACGAAAGCCTCCCTTGGTGGATGCAGCCAACACAAGAGAAAAGCCACATGGAAGGAAGGGATCCCCACCCAAGCCCACCGAGGCTCACATCATCCCACCACGCCTCCCCGGGAATGGACACGGACATGGTTGTACAGGCTGGGATCTTCACTCTTCTGAGTTCTGATCTTATTTTGGTACTTGCCTCCTTTTCCATGCCCCCTAAGGGATTGCCTGGAGTCTCAGTAGGGACTCTGGACCTAAGACTTCTGAACCTGAACAAAATGTTGGAATTATTAAGGCCACAAGGGCTTATGGAGATAAACTGAATGTAGTCTTTTGGGATCCAGGGGTGGAAGGTTATGGTTTAAAGCGACCTGTTTGGGTGTCAAGTTGACATGAGGTAGACTTTGAGACTCAGTCATAAGTGTTGACCCGGACAAATCAAGAAATGTCAAAATTAGTCAAGTACACACCGGGGTGTTCTCAGAGATAGTTACATCACTAGGGACCTAATGAACAGATTAATGCCTGGCCGGATTCATAAGGTGATGGCATCACTAAAAAGTGGTGAAAGCAGAAGGTGGGGCTTTTGGAAGAAGTACATCACTACAAAAATGCTCTTGCTGACATGATGCCCACTGATCTGCTCTGCCCCAATAGGCTGACGCTTGTGAAACCATGAGCCAAAATAATTAATTCTTCCCCTTAAAAAAAAAAAAAGGAGCTAAAATGGTTACGCTTTCCATTGTGTATTTATCCCCTGCCCAGGTTTCACTTTAAAAGAAAAGTGAAAAGCTGTTTTTAAAGAAGGGAGGCCGTCAGAAGTCATGCAAGAGCCCGGGACAGTGTGTCATCTGGGGAGATGCGAGAGCCTCCCAGTGTGGTAGAGGACCTGAGGTCCACTACCTTTTTGGGAATAGTTAGTTGGAAAGAAAGCAGGTGCCAGCTCCCAAATGATCCCAAGGGCTCAGCTAAAGGAATGTGGACTCAGGCTGGAGCCCTGGGGAGGCACCGAAGCCTTTCAAGCAAGGGAGCAACATGACCATATTTGGGCTATCAGAGAATCTTAGGCCTGGGCTGCTTCACAAAGCAGGACTGCAGGGAGGAGAGGACAGGGGAAGAGACAGAACCTAAGGCCTTCGTGGCTTCCTCTAGGTGGGAGTCACCAGACACAGGGCAAAAGGTGAGATTGGGGGCGGGGGTCGTGAAAGAAGGAAACAGGCTGCAAAGAACGCAAATGTCAAGTTGGAAAGGGGCAGAGGCTGAGCAGTTTGTGGTCCCAGCTTGGTTGCAGGATGACAAGGAGAAGTCGGCTGCACAAAGAGAGGGCCAGCTACTGCTTTGAGCACACAAGTGGACATGCACGGCGCAGGGATTTGGATATGGCTTGTCCGGTAGTAGGCCAGGTCCTGGAAGCTTGGTTCCATGGCGCTATTCCAAGAGGCAAGACTTTTAAAAAGGCAGGGCCTAATAAGGTCATCGGGGTAATCCCTCCAAGGGATGGCAGTAAGTTACGTGACATCTTGATTAATTCTTTTCTTGTATTTATGTATTTTTATTATGTATAATATATTATTACATATCATATATACTCGTACACACACATATATGAGTGCTGTATGTAAATGCACCGTGTGCCTGGTGCCCGGGGAGGCCAACATGAACACGGACAGAACACAGCCAAGCGTTAGGGCAGAACTTAAAGGGTACCACCCTGACCTAGCCAGAGCCAGCTCACCTGAGATGACCTCCAGGAGCAGCATGAGCTTCAGGCCATCCCGGAAGTCCTCTTCAATGTTCTCAATCTGTGTCCCTGCCTTGCGCAGGTGGGAGTTGCACCAGGCCGTGAACGTCTAACACAGAGGGAAGAAATGCGGGCGGTCAGTCTCCTTGAGAGCCACACAGTTGGTCTCTGAGGCCCTCACCACAGACCCCAACGGTTTCCAAGGCCCCCACCCCACAGCTTCTTCCCAGCTGTTCTGGGCAAGGCCCTCAGCAGGCTGGTGCCATCCTCACTTCACAAGGCACATGAAGGAACTAGGGAAGGTGGCCACCCACGCGGGAGAATCAATGGCGGTAGTGGGGGGGGAGCGAGGGTCTTGACAGAAATGCAAGTGGGCCAACTTTTAGGGCCTATGGGTACAGGATGGGGAGTAGGAAGGAAGGTCTTTCCCCAGCCATCCTCAAAAGCATAATTTCTGCTTGTCACAACCCCATTCTTAGCAATCTCCCTCTAAGACAAGTTCATTTCAGCCTTTACAGTTTCAAGAAAGAGTAAGGCCGGAAGTTTCACTTGAAACCCACTGGCTCCTCTCACTAGGTTAGCTTGTAAAATCCTTCTCCGCTAACCAGGGAAAAGGATTCCTTTTAGTTGGGGACAGAGTTCAGAGGCATGGTGGCCAGGAGGAGAAAGCATGACCCCACGGCATGTGTATGGGGGCGTTTGGGTTAGGATGAGTGGGGGGGGAACCTTCAGCCGTAAAACCACTGAGACGACTTTCAGAGAA